CTGGATTGATGAAGCAACGGACGTGAAGCAATTGATTCATAATAAGTATGTGTACGTTTTAATCTTCAAAGTTTTGCTTGTTTACTTTTATAGAAAAATAACGTAGTGAAAATAAACTTTTTCATAAATAGAAAAATGTTTTCCATAATTTACCCGATATGTAAAAGAAAACAAATGAAACATTATGCTTAAATTTCATAAGGTTGAAGAAAGCATTGGTGTGAACCATTTGGTTGAATATGAACATTTGTTTCTACCACTTTGCACAGGTACGCTTGTTTATCTAGAAAAAAAACATGATTATATGGAGATGAATCGTTTCATCTAAAAACAAATCGTTCTGATAGTTTTCTCGATATGAAACAAACAAAACCAAAAGAAACGTCATACTTAACTTCGAGAAAGTTGATGAAACCAGCGGCGTAGAGCAATTGATTGTCAATAAGCACGTTGTTGCAGAAATTGCGAGAGTTTCGCTTGTTTCTCTAGATAAATAAAATGATTAAATGAAGAAGAAACGTTCCATGTAGAAAAAACTTATATCAGATAATTTTTTCAATATGTTAAAATAAAATCGAATAAAACATCATACTTAACTATCGTCAGGTTGAAGGAAACATTGACGTGAAGCATTTCGTAGAGAACAACTAGCTATTCATTCTAGTTTCTGAAGACTTGCTTCTGTATATAGAAGAATAAGTTGATCAGATGAAGATGATTCGCGGTATCTAGAAAAAAAAATCGTTTGATTTATATTTTCGATATGAAAGAAATGAAGTCAAATGAATAATTATACTTAACTTCCATTTGGTTCTTGAATTGATTGATATGGAGCTATTTATTGAGAATGAGCACGCGTTCGTATCATTTCTGAAATATTTTATGTTTATATAGATAAAGAAAACGAAAATATGAAAATAATGTTTTTTTTTTCATATAGAATAGAATCGATAGGATAACTTATGTATCTGCTAGATAAGAAATCAATTGATAAAATATACTTCGTTTTTAATGGGCTCGTGAAACTATATACATAGAGCAATTTATAGAAAATGAACACGAGTGTTTATTCCATGTTAAGTGTTCACTTATTTATATGAGTCAATAGAAGCATTCGATGAACATGTATCTTTCTATATAGAAATGAATCTTTCAGAACGTTTTCTCGAGTCGCAAAAAGTTTTACAAAATGAAAAATCATATTTCGCATTTAGATTATATGAAGAGGTAGGGTGTCACTGAACAGATGCATATAGAAAAACAATTATGGGAATCATGTAAAATGTTTTGGCCGATTAAGAAAAATAAAGAAAAGTTTTAGGACAAAAGGATGCGCTCATAGAGAAGGAACGACATTAATAATTCTCATGACATTAACAAAGTGAAGACAAAATATTAATAATGGCGATCTAATTGAATATGATTGCGATTATGGTGCACGTGACGCGGCTGGTCGAGAAAGAGAACTTACTCATATCTCTTCCGGAAGTTGTTTCTTTCATCCAAACTAAAAGAGAGGTTTTTTTGTAAAGTATATCTTCGTTTCGGCTAACGTATAAAGTATCGATACGAAAAGACTAAATGGAAATTGCATGTAATGCTATAGAAAACCACATTTGCTAAAATATGGAAGTAAACTCGAAGATATTTGCTCTTTTTTGATAAGATCATGAAAAATACCCACTGCTCTCTTCTCGACTCTGAAAAATAGCACGTATTTCTTTCTGTATGGTAAGAAATGCTAGTTTCTATTATTGTGGATTATAATATCAATCAGATCTACTTGGTGTTTTTCAAGAGCAACATGAAGTAGCAATGACCTAGAAATTCTCTCAATGAATTTCGTTTTAGAATTTTCATATAAGTTGTTCTGTTGCACTTTACGATGATTGAGTTGAAATAGTTTTGATTTTCAAATTAGATATTATGCTTTGAAATGACGTTATCATTATTTCCCGATAATTCAATATCAGAAACATATTTAAAAAAGTGGCTGATAATCATGAAACAAACTTTCCATTAGTATTTAAGGCTCGTTCTTTGACGATTTGAATTATTTTCCTACTTATAGTTGCGATAAACAAACCATGCAACATTTTAACGGTTTGGAGTGATTCTCACTGCTGTTACAAGAAAATGCCTATTTACACGTGTCCTCATGTATTGTTTGGATAACGTCTTTTAACAACTCCCAGTTTCTATTGAATAATAGGTAAAACGTAAAATTAGAAATGAGTCTGTAGGAATTGCCCTTTTGAAACATATTTGTTTGTGTCACTGACAAGCAATATTCGATTTTGAATCATTCAGTAGAAAAGACACTTATCGACTAGATAATACAAAAATATCTGTAAACTGATTCGAAATTCCTTAGTAAAGAAATAAAAACTAAAACGCGTTCCAAATCAATATTCTTATTAGAAACAAACATTGACTTACTAAGTCTGATGTTCATAAATTTAGGATTCTAGTTGTATCTTGCAAGCATTGAAATAAAATACTTCACGTAAAAACAACAAGAAATGACACAATGTCTTCGATGTGTCTTAAATAAAAACAAATTAATCGAAAAAACTATAATTTGCACTCTTCCTGTATTTGGCACAATAATGCTATCAGGTGAAAGAAACTATTTTGATGAAGACTTTAACTTCAACAGAAATATGGATAAATCCTGGATTTCACTCAGCACAGTGCCGATGATTCATCGCACGCTTTCCTTTCAACTTAGTTTTTTATTAATATTCTTAAAATAATTTTGATCTGAAAACGAATCTTCGTTCTCAAAAATATCTGAAGTGAACATTAAAGAAATCGATTCCTACGATGAAGTGATATTCATTTCATCACAGTGTTTGAAAGTTTACTTCATGAGATTCATTCAAAAAACAAACAGATTTTTCGTCGAGAAAACAGAAATTAGTTTTCAGACACTTTAGTTATTACTGTCGAATCTGAATCCTTATTGAATTTTTTTTCATACAATCATTATTCGATGAAAACGGATAATGACTCATATTATTTTTACAATTCTTGTTGCAAATTATCAGAGAGTATGATACTAGCTATTGGAATCGCTCTTTAACAATTGAACTTGGTGTTGACTGATCCATGTCAAACGATTCGATTGTTTACTTCATATATTACAAAGAATTAATTAGCTATATTTTATGAATTTTCATCATCACATCGATTCGTGCCGTTACAAAAGTTGCAGACTTGCCGAACAACTAGATTTTGCAACAACTTTGAATTAAAATAATCTTGTCACTCTCATTACACAAGTTCCATAAAAGAATCGAATACCATGCCCAAAAAACAAGGCTTTTTTCAACTAGAACTTGGCCTTGTGTAGTAGTTTATCTTAACGGGGATAGCTGCATATTTTCAATCAAACTATAGGATTGTTACCCTTCTATTGGCAATTTCCGAAATTCGAGGTTTGAACGTAGAATAATAAATGCATCAAAATTAAGGATAAAATAATCTATGCTTGATTGTAGAATACTAAACGCTTCTAGATTGATTGTAACACGATGTATTTTGTCATGCCAACATCTACTATTTTAGTTTTCATATCCTCTCACGCGCAGGTATCTATCGACTCATAAGCACAAAAATTGGATCAGTGGATGAATCCAGCTTGTCACATCGAATAATACATTTACGGCGATACAGAATTTAAGATTTTTCTAGGTTCCAAAATAGTGAACCCTTGTGTTAAAAATGTGAATTGCACTGCTACAATGCGTGTAAAATACAAATTGCGATGAAAACATAAAATACGAAAACTAGAAATATTGATCACATCATTTTCTCACTAGAATGCACTATTGATGCAATAAATATTTTTTGGGTCGTAATTCTTGAAGAATTAACGAAATCTCAATAAACGTTTTAAAAGTCGGTGTGTTCTTCTCAAGTACAGAGGGGACTTATTATACAATTGATTGCTATAGTGTACACCAATCTACCCTGCATCATATAATAATATACCCTTTTACGATATCGTATAATAATCTACCCTCACAGGTATATTGATAAACGCTTCTACTGAAAACGGAGAATAATCTACCATTGATCGTAGAATAATGAACCGTTTTGATGACATCGCCTACTGGTCTGTCATCAACGGTATTATAGTAAACGCTTTTTCTGAAAATAGAGAATAATCTACCCTTATTGGTATTATGATAAACGCTTCTACTAAAAATGGAGAATAATCAACTATTGATCGTAGAATAATAAACCCGTTTGATGAAATCGTGTGCTGATTTACCCTCAAACGTATTATAAAGAACGCTTCCTATGAAAGCGGAGAATAATCAACTGTTGGTCGTAGAATAATCAACTCTTTTGATGACCTCATATACTGGTATACCCTCAGCGGTATTATAATAAACGCTTCTGTTGAAAATGTAGAATAATCAACCATTGATCGTAAAACAATGAACCCTTTTGATGACATCGCCTACTAGTCTGCCATCAACGGTATTATAGTAAACGCTTTTTCTGAAAGTGGAGAATAATCAACCATTGATCGTAGAATAAGATTTGTTTTACATGAATCGTATAATAATCTACCCCCTGATTGTTGGATAATAAACTGATTTTGGAAATACGTATATTAAGCTATACCTATCCGTTTATTAATAAACACTTTGAATAAAATTATGAAATACAAAACCCTTAAAACAGCTTCATATACCCTTTTTATATTCATATACCCTTACGATCACAAACCCTTCGGCTCATGTACCCTTCATAGGGTATATGGCGTGCGCATAAACCCTTCAAGGGTTTATAGAAAAAAAAATCAAGGGCAAGCGTTCAATAATCTGCCCTTTTTTTTACAGTGAAGAACATCACCATTCTCAAAATCTTATTATAATAATAATCATCCACGACAAACTCAATTATCTAAATCTATTGTAGAAAATCTTATCATTGATCTTGGTTTACCACTATCGATAGTTGAACGTCCAGCATTTATCAAATTCATGAATACAATAGATCCAAAGTTTACTATGACTAGTAGAAGAGCATTAAGTCGTACAACAATTCCACGTTTATATAATACAATGAATGATGAATTGAAGAAGTTTTGTAATCAATCTCAATTCATATCATTGACTTTAGATATTTGAACAGATCGTCGTTTACGTGCTTTTTTCGCAATGACAGGTATGATTGCAATATTTTTCAAATGTTCTAATATTCAGGCATTGTATGATTCAGTAATTAATTATCGTTTTTCTTTTAGGTCATGCTTTCGTTGACAATGAATTAAAATCTTATGTATTATGCTTTTTACCTTTACACGGCAGTCATACTGCTAATTTGTTATTAGAAACTTATGAAAATATTGTTAGTATGTTTAATATACAAACCAAATTAGTTCGCTTAGTGACAGATAATGCGGCAAACAACATTAAAGCATTTGAAACTTTAATAATACCTGGTTTTGAGCATTATTTTGATATTGAAGATGACGATAATGATGAAAATGGAAGTGATGTTGATTTAGATGGTTTTAGTGATGATGATGATCATGATGAATCTGCTGTTCCAGTTATAAATATCAACGATTCAAATATGATCGAATTAATTAAAAATAGTTTTGATAATGTTGCTGCAAATAATGAATCATTACGCATACCATGTTTTGCTCATACTATTCAATTGGTAGTAAATGATGGTTTAAAACAAGTTTCATCAATTGAATCTGATTTATCAAAAGTATCAAAAATAGCTAAATTATCTCATACCAGTACTGCTTTTGCAGAGAAACTAGAAAATACTGGAAAATCAATACCTAAAGCTAATAAAACAGGTTGGAACAGCCAATTCAATACAGTTGAAAAAATTTTACGTATACCACCATCAGAATTAAATGAAATGTTAATTTTAGTTAAACGTAAAGATCTTTGTTTACTTACTAAAGATTATCAGATGTTAAATGAATTTGTATCATTATTAACTTTATTTGCTGATGCAACAACAATTACTCAAGCTGAAAATACACCATCAATTTCATTTATTGCGCCTACCGTATTAGCAATTTATTATGATTTAGTAAATGAACAATCAAATGTCTTCTATACATCATCATTATGTCATACTAGGGTTGCACCGGTTCCGGTTTTAACCGATACCGGTTCCGGTTTTAGAACCGAAACCGATGGAACCGATTGGAACCGGAACCGGAACCGGTAAGAACCGATAAGAACCGGAACCGGAACCGATAAGAACCG